TCTTGGGTGTTACTGTTCTTTTGGGCTCTGAGATTCTTATGAGACACCCAGTGTATTTGATTATACAAAGTAGTTCTAAACAAAGACCTTTTTTAAATACCAATGACACAAATAACGTTAGCGACTGTTCACAAGTCGATGGGGATTATTGACATGTCAGTGTTTATGATTTACACGTTTTCTGATTCAAGTTTTTCCTTTTAAGTGTGTGGGTTTTATCCAGTGTCTTTATTTCATGTGAACTACTGAGTGTGTTTGAATTCATTAATTTAATAAGCCATTTCATGGCTATAAGCACAATTTGAATGGTCGTGTGAAATTGAGGCAAAAGATATTTAAGATGATTTTACGTTGGGGAGAATAAATCAGTGGATGAATGTGAAAACAATAAATAATTGTGTTCAAAATCATTTCATATTTTTCCTTATGTTTTTATTCTGTTAGAAATAATCAATTTAAAGCTGTAAGACTTTGATATGAACACGTGTAAAGTGAAAAGGATCACTAGGGTTTTAGTATTTAGAAAGAATATATATCATTTTTGAAGGATACAATTGTTCAACTGCATCACAACTAAAGAAACCAGCTTTTAAAACATTGTAAACAAATGAAATGACACCTTTGCTCACAACAGCATTTTCAAATCATATTATAAACGCTCTTTCCAGTGAACTACATTTTTTTTTATTTTTCCCACAAACAGATCTTGGACATTTTTAAACAACCTGTTGGGGTCATTATAGTGAAATAGCATGTATTTTTCGGCCAAAAGTAGTATGGTTTGGAATACAACTTTTCAAATGTAATATTAAGTGCAGTAAGATACCAAGTCCTATTTACTTTGACCCCTTCATGGGGTCCTCAGCTGCAACATGTTTCTGGTGACACTGGACTTTGGAAACATAAAAATATCCATAGCTTAAACATTCTCCAATTATTATCTCAAGCCTGACTCATACTTCTGCATCACCATAGGCACTTCCTGTATGCACACTCTGTAATATCACTGCTGCTACTAATGGAAGTGTGGCACATTGTCAGATAGTGAAAACATAGTGAATGACTTCAGACAACGTCCACACACACTATCAATACAATAATGCTGCATCTTTGTATGTGTTCACGTTGTCCTGTTCAGAGACCCACACGCATTCATTAACAGTTTTACAGTGTTTATACGATTTATGTCCAAAACTTAGTGGAATCATTCATATCTTTTTTCAGAAAAATGCTATTTATTACACAAAATCAACTGACCATTTAATCAAGCCGTTCCTCACAAGTCTGCTGGGTCTCCTGATGCCCTGTACAGAGGCCCAGGACCCCCTATAAGAATGCAAGAAGAGACAGATCTGCTTTGGTCTTACATCAATCTGCCTTGTTAACACATCTTTGTAATGTTTAAGTTAAGTTTGAGTCAATAAATATTAAACCAGTGTCATCAGACAGCTGTTGAGGAGTTACGTTTACAGTGTGCTTCCAGCCACTTCCTGTCTCAACATGCAATCTGGAGATATTGGGTGTTTCTCAATGTCGAGTAGGCTTGCTTGGTAGCACAGCAAGAATATTTCCTGGCATTCGGAAAACGAAGAGTGGAACAGGCGAGCAAGTGTGCAGGTGTGCGTCATATGAGAGGCCCCGCCTTACATCTTCCGCCACAGCTTTGGGGAAATTGGTCCGTGCGCAAAGCATTGTGGGGATTTTAAGACCGCGGAGTCTACACTCCGCCTGCAGCCTCGAAATTTCTCGCTACGAAGTACGCCGGGCTCGGTAGAATTCCAAGTATGCTGGACATTGGAACAGTCCTTCGGCGGCACTCGATGACGTAGTATGCTTGAAATAGTGGCTCTGGAGCAGCTTTACTCGACATTGAGAAACACCCAGAGAAACACCCAATATCCGCGTTCACACCGCAGCACTTTTCCCACTTTAGTTTATGAGAACTCTTTAGTTCTCATCAGGGGCGGATCTAGACACATATTCATGAGGTGGCAGGAGATTTTGAGGGGTGGCATCCCCTGACAGAAGTATATGCTGATTTAAATCGCAATCATATCAATCAATTAGGGGTGTAACGGTACCCGTACTGAAATTATTCGGTACGGGCCCTTTCGATTCGGTACACGTGTGTACCGAACGAATATAGCGTTAAACGTAAAAAATTGAGAACATGAACAACTTTCTGGAAGTAATCTCAGGTATATATATCATAGAGCGACCAAGTCATTTCATTGGACGAGAGGCATACTATGAGAGCTGGTCACAGGGATGCGTTCAAATGTAGTCAGTAATTTGAGGAACTGTCGAAATGGCGAACGCAGATAAAGTTGAGCTCGAAAATCCTCCAGCATCATTGAAGTCTCCGGTTTGGGAACATTTTGGTTTCGCAGTTACGTACAAGGATGACGGACAAAGACAGGTGGACCGAACCAAAGCTGCTTGTCGGCATTGTTCAACTAACATTGGTTACGCGGCTGGCAATACATCACACTCATTTGAAAAGGCATCACCCGAATGTGAATATCACCGGTACCAAAAGAAAAAGACTGAAGTGCAAACCCAACTCCCACTACCATTTAAGCCTCCACCACTCGCAGAGAGTTCAGACCGAGCCAAAGCTATTACAAACGCCAAATGTCCTTATGTTGCCATGTTAGCAAAGCGCTACCTGGCTGTATCTGCTGCCACTGTCCCTAGAGAGGGTGTTCTCCACAGCAGGAGACATTGTTAGTGCAAGCAGATCTGCCATTTCAGCAAGCAATGTGGACAAGTTCATCTTTCTTTAAACAACATGAAAATAGAATGAAAAGCAAGTCCTAATGTCAAGCTGGCTGCTTAGGTACTAGTACAGTTCAAATACAGATTATTTCAGTTCATCGAAATGCTGCACCTTAATGTTTATTTTACTATATTTTGTATTTATTTGAATACATTAGTCACAGTTTAATAATAATTTAAAAAAAATATTTAATGTTTTGTGATAATTTTTTCTGCTGTACCGAAAACGTAACGAACCGAACCGTGACCTAAAAACCGAGGTAGGCCTACGTACCGAACCGAAATGTTTGTGAACCGTTACACCCCTACAATCAATGTTAACTTGGAAAGCCACAATATTAATATTTTAACTCAATCACATAGGTGATATTATTGTGGCACATCAGTAAAGCCTTATAAGGTGGCAGACGTAATTTAATGAATTTTAACTGAACAATAACTGAATGAGTTTGTTTCACTCTTAGACCAGCAGGGGTACCAAATCTATGCAGACTGCTGCAATAAGTACATTAATTAACTGTCTCATCGATGTTTGTCTGAATGAATATGATACTATTAACAATCATATTATTCCTATCAGCTGTCAATCACTGTTAATAAATAATAATAATAGATTTAATTTGTTAGCGTTTTTACAGGTGCTCAAAGACACTTTACAGATATAGTGAAGAACTGTTATGATTCACATATTCATTTATTATTGAATAAACTATATTTTTTGGAGGAGTTAATGATTAATGTTCATCAAGATGCTTGCTCACCCTCCTTCAAATTTGAAAACAAGTAATTATATCATTATTGATATACAGTTACAACCTTGACTTTACATCAGAAAGAACAAATATTAAAGAAGTGACTAACTGCATCAGTTAGGGTTAAAAAACGTGTATTCAGCTAAAACATCGCTGCAGTTATTATCCAGTGGAAGGTCCTTACCTACTGGCCTAGTTCAATCAAAGTGGTTACTTTCTGTTGGCTGGGCAGTGTAGTTTTACACACCGTCTTATTTTACTTTCTCAGGACTTAAAACTGTTTTTTGGGGGCAGACCCCCTCAAAGAAAACAATATATACACGCATACAAGGTCATCATCTTAACAGTTTGTTATTCTCATCGAGTCATCCGTGAGCAGAGCATCAAGTTGGCATGTCTATTACAGCTGAATGCGGCGATTACTATTTTGTTCAGCAAAACGCCTCACAAACGTATTAAGATCAACAGCTGTAGTGCGTTTTGATTCCATGCTGAGTACAGCCAAACTGACAGTCTCTTCTCTGTCATTGTAGACCGCAACTACCTCATTCCTTCAGTGCTTTGGTCCGAAAGGCTTCTCGTTTTGCGCCGTCCCCTGGTTCAAGTGAATTCGCCACCAATCATATTTCCACTCTCGCGCCAGGACCGGGGGAGGGGTTACATGACGTGCATCTTGTGCTGCATTCACTTGCACTCGGACATTAGAGACTTTCTCTCATAAATGTCCGATGAGCCACAACTTTTCTTTCAAAACAAAGATGCCAACTGGGGTGGCAAGGCTATTGTTTAGGGTGGCAGTTGCCACCCCATGCCACCCGGTAGATCCGCCCCTGGTTCTCATGAACTAAGTACAGATCGCGTTCACACCGGGATAAATTCCTGGGGAAGGATAACGGCCCGTCTACACTACAGGCATCAAAAAATCTTGAAGCTGGGCATGTCTGAAGCTTGGCGATTTTTTGCGAGCAACGCGACCAACAACCAATCACATGAATCTCCCGCCCCCGACATACAAAGCAATAGCAATGTTAAAACGAAGTAAACTGGATATACAATCCCCAAACAGGCGAAAACCTACCAGTTTCACCCACTGCCTCTGCCACCTCCCTCCATGCCTGGTTCCTCCGGTTTGTATCCCGGTAAATAGTTCTGGTCGGAAAGAACCGGGTGATTTACTACCGTAATTTCTCGTTTGGAATATGAGGAAATGAACTGCGGTCTGGCTCTGGGAATTGCAACAACGGGATTTGATTGGCTGACGCCAGCTTCGAGCCTCAAAAGTTGAACATTGTTCAACTTTTGACGCCGATAGACGCTCGCGATGCTTGCAACGCCTTGCCATGCTACCCACAATGCAGTTCGGCGAAGTTTGAAAATATCCTACGTCACCCCATTCAAATGAATGGGCGAAGCGTTGAAAGCATTTGTTGACGCCTGTAGTGTAGACGGGCCAGGCAAATGAAGCCACTGACGTCACTTCTTCTTCTTCGGGTTTACTGGCAGGCCACAAACAACTTCACGGCGTATACTGCCGCCCGAAGTCCCCGGCCGGAAGTCCCCGGAGTTGGAGACTGGCACAGTCCCCAACTCCGGAAGCCTTCCGAGTAAATCGCCAGAACGCCGACACCTCTTCATCACTCCACTGCTCCCATGTTTTATTTTGTGTTGCCATAAGTTAGTCTCTGCGTTTGTGCGCTGGGCTAATGCTAATAATGCTAATGCGCGGACAATAAAATGGCGGATTCACAACATTTTTTGGGAGTTTTACGGGGCGTGGTTTGCATTCCGCCCAACCAATCAGACATAGGAGCCTTTTTCTCCCACGAAAGTCCCTGCTCTCTAGCAGGGGTAAAAGGGGGTAAAAAAGGTTCTGATGAACTCATTTTAGTTCCGGCTCTTTTTGGTGTGAACGTGACATTTCTGAACTAAAGTGGGAAAAGTACCGCGGTGTGAACGCGGCTATAGTATGTGACCCTGATCCAGGACTGTCAAGCTGCAGCGCCATCTCCTGGGAGTCTTTCTCCATTTTCTTTTCCTTCTGTTTTGTGTTGCCGAGTGAATGAAATGACGAGCGTTTTAGAACATAGCAGTGCAGAGCAAGTCCTGGATCAGAACCACAGGTGGGAGGCTCTGCACAGGATTCACATAACATCCACCTTGTGAGGAAGAATGTTAGCCTTGAACGGCACAGATCTGAAATATTCACAGTCACGCTCCTTTGTGAAATCCTAGAGGAGCTGCTAACCTTAAAAAAACATGATGAAAACAATATGTTCTCAATAAAACACTTAGACACAGCCTACCTAACATTCACACTATGGGCTCAAGTTTTCCAGAAGGAGCTATGAGTTGTGAAGGAGTATCAAAAAGTCCCAGCTGATGTCAGAACGTCCATCAAACTAATGTGGCACCACAGCTCTGTCAACGTGTGTTAGATGGGCTACGAGTCTTTGAGCGTGCTGATCTGGGCGTAGATCTTCAGTGCGGGCCCCAGTTTGATGTTCATGGTGGCCATGAGGTGGTCCTCCTTCAGCAGCAGCAGGGCCTGCCCATCGATCTCCTGAGAGCGGAACTCCTCAGCCACCTGCAGACAGTCTGCACACACACAGTCAGAACACACACAGCAACACACAGTCAGAACACACACAGCAACACACAGTCAGAACACACAGTCAGCACACACACACAGTCTGCACACACACAGTAACACACACAGTCAGAACACACAGTCAGCACACACAGTCAGCACACACACAGCAACACACAGTCAGAACACACACAGTCTGCACTCTTACTGACTCATCAGAACCACCATCATGGTGTGTGAAGCCCCAGAAGGCCACACAAGCACAATTTATAACAGAACCTTAAACGGATCAAATCCAGAGTAAGATAACAAAAAACAATGATAATTTTATTTCTGAAATTTGAATTGAGTGAATAGATCAATCCTTCCCATATAAATTGATCATAATAATGTTCAGATGTTGAGAATGCTCTAAGTGACATCACTACAGTATGTAACACTCACGTTTCTATTGGCTAGCGCTCTAACACATTGTACGTGATAGGCTAAGGGGCAAGACATCTCTAAGCTGTTGACCAATCACTACAGAGCCGTCCAGCTAACCAATCAGAGCAGACTGGGCTCTGGTTTCAGACAGAGGGTGAAAAGAGGTGCTGCAGGCAGTATGAGGAAAATAAAGAGCTTTCTGAACATTAAAGCATGGAGACATGTCACAGGAGAAATACTGATAGGAAGCTGAAGAAGAAGAATATGTCCTAGTAATTAATGAATTTGGCAAAGGATTTTCTTAATGTATAGTCATCCCCCACTGCTGCGATGACAAAATAATGAAAATACTGATTGAATTCCTTTATATTAGAATCGTTAGGTTTGTCCCTGCCCTCTCAACTCTCTTTTTAACAGACACTCTCACAAATGAATGAAATGAAACTCTGCTGATGGAAATAGAATCCATATGTAAAGTATTCCTAATGAGACACAGTCCAACAGATCAGTAAGAGCAGAGGCAGCCCCACCTGGCAGAGAGGACATGAACTCGTACACCTCGTCTATGTTCCACTGGCCGGGGTCAGAGGGCAGGAAGCAGAAGGGCTGCGTGGCTGACGGGGGGGACGGGGGTCTCTTGTACCCAGGCAGGTCTGAGCATTGGCTGGACTGTCCCTGAGCGGGGTGGAGCGACTGGCCGGTGGAGGGAGAGGCAGCAGCAGCAGCAGGCTTCTGCACAGAGGGGAACACATCTGTCAAACACTGCCTCTGACAGGAGGAGAGCTGCACGTCACATTCAGAACACTAACTGGATGGACTTCAATGAACCGCACGAAACAACATCATTTATTAGTAATACAAAGTCAAAGTGTTGCCTCGCCTTCTTCTTGGGCTCCAGGCTGCAGTGATTCAGCTCTCCGCTCAGCGCTCTCTGCTTCTTCATGTTCTCCAGGGTGGCTTTCCGGTTTGGGAAGAGACCCACTCTCTTTGTGCATCCCACATTGTAGCTGCATACAAAGTGAACATTAGAGTTATTATCAACATGTTAATCATTGTATATTTTCACAATTGTTTCTCCAGAAGGTTAGGGTTGGGTATCGTTTGGATATCCGATTTCGGCTCTGCTTATCGATTTAGGTTATCATTGATTCTAGATTTGAGCTTTTTGAGGAGGTAAAAATAAGTTACAAAACCTACAATAATAATCTTCCATTGTTTTTGCAATCACAAGCAATCGGCTGAGCAGCATAAGAACCTGCAGTCCTTTCGGACCGTTCTCCTGTCCTCTCAAGTCTTACAAATTCTGCCATAGGGTCGAGACAAGACACAAAGTAATTGTATCGCTATGCCGACAGCCTGTCCAAAGAGCGCACCGTTGCTAAGAAACCGAGAAGCTGAAAAGAAATTAAACTTTCTGCGTTAGGTACCGGGCAATTGGATTTTTGACCCTATCCCTGATAGACCAATACAAATATTATTTACCTATTAGGAATGAATTTATACTGACTATGCAATAACACTGCAATGGGCATTACACACTTTTCAATGTATTCGTTTTATTACACGCTACTACTTAAATGCGACAGACTTTTAAACCACTGTTGAGTGATAACTGTGCTATATACTTTTTACACTTTATTAATCACTGGCTGCGACCTCATCACTTCTATATGTTCCCTTATTAATTTGTTATATTATTTTATCAACAGATTCTGATTCATTATTGACCAAAAAGTCATGTGCATCTTAAAGTGTAAAAGCGACCGTCATATTACAAGTGCTAGGAAATAGTTTTTCTACTGGCATAGAATCCATAAAATATCACGAAAGACCATGACACTCAGGATATTACATCTAAATAAATGAATATACTTTATAATCAGGTGATGGTGTTGGTTGCAGAATGTCCTGAGCAGCATCCTTGAAGCTTGAAAAGCAGGCTTTAAATGAGGAGGTGAGCTCCATCACTAACTGTTCTCCCTCCTGTCTCTATCTCATCAGCAAGCATCAATGTACAAAACATTCAGGAAGTAGCTTCTCCTTTTATCTGATGCTGGTTTTAAAGGAGATGTCATTTTATTTACAAAATAACTCAATTCAAGTGGAGAAACTTTGGATTCATGCGGGCGGTGATGAGAGACAGAGAGCTTGACAACAGAGTCTGGCAAAAATAAAGACAAAAGACAGACAGGAAGTCAACACTAAAGGGATGAGCTCATACAGTGAGGCAGTGTTTACAGACTGGTTCATGGAAAACAAAATGGAAACACTTTTAGACTTACAAGGCTGAAAACCACCATCTGCTCTGCGGTCATTTGATGCATGTCTTCAAAAAGAGATTTGTTTCTAGTTTGTTCTACTACATAAAATACATCAGTAAATACTCCACTGGTGAATGACACTTCTATGTGTCATAGAAACGGCGTTGTTAACAAGTGACTAGATGAGACTAAATGTCAACATGCCGAACATTAGCCGCGTTTAGCTTAGCGCTGACCGTAATGTCCGTTGATAGCGTCACGTTAGCTTTTCACTTTTGGTGATTGCATGTACGCAAATAAAAAGTCATTAAAGCTGTTTTAATATGCGGAGATTATCCTGCTGAACAAAACGTGTAAGTATTATAAATGGGTGTTATATGAATATTCCAAAATCCAATGGGAAAATCCCATTGCCTACATCTCGTTCTCTACGTTCTCTTGACAGTGACTGTTTGACTCGTTAACTAAAACCTTTCTAGGGTTTGATCTCTGGTAGTAGCTTCTACCAAAGATCAAAGAAAACATGTTTTTAATGTCATATTACAGTGTGGTTGTGCAATGAACAACCTGGTTCACAGGTTCCTCAAAATATAAGACATAAAACACATTAAAAAAAACACAATAATAGTAGTGCACGCTCAGGAGTTCAGCATGGTCAACTTTTTTACTTATTTTGTTAATATTATTAATATCTACTTTTTTTTAACTTAATCTGCACTCTGTTGTAATACCGTAACTTTCCCCGTTGTGGGAGCAATAAAGGAATTGTGATTCGGATCAGTTTAAACTCAGTTGGTGCAGATAGATTCTCACCCAGGAGCATCTTCCCTGCTGGGCCTTACCGTTTGGCGCACACATTGGAACAGAACCTCTTGGACCTTTTGAAGACGTAGGAGAAATCCACCCTGCCACACAGCTCACAGGTCAGCATGGGCTCCTGCTGGGCCTTCAGCTCTGAGGGGAGACACACACCGTCAACCACAACATCAACAGGAACACTGGCGATGCAGAATGAGCCTGGATTATTTGATATTCAAAGCTATTTTAAGAACAAGTGCTAAAAGCCAGACTTGTGAAAGTGAAGCTTATTGACAGCTAAAGGTGAAGCCCTCACATTAATTCATTGTGTGAGCGATATGTCTCACTTCCTCAGATTTATAAGAAAAGAATGTGGATGTCAATAGGATTTTTAGAAGAGGAATTTCATTTGAGAAACAATGATGTGTTGCAATTATCACAATATAAATCATACATTTATCATCCTCTCTGTCCTCAGTAGAATGTATGAAACACTTCAGCATGTTGCTATTGCTCTGAGAACTTTCAAACGTTACCCTTTGGTGAGAGGAGGTCCATCTTTGAGTCTGCAGTGTGTCTCCTCAGGCTCTCCACTGAGAAAGAGGGACGCTCCACCTGCAGACAGGACATTAAACATGCCATTACTGTTGCTGAAAAAGCCTGAAATGAATCCCAGGAAACTACAAGAACACATATACAATTATGGACAGTTTAAACGGTTCTTTTGTTATATTTGAGCTCAGTGGTTAGAGCTGACCATATGCAGTGTCCACTGACAAGCAAACATTTCAGTCATCTCCTCTGTCTCCCACTTACAACGTTTCCTCTGTAATAAAGGCACTGTCTGGCTCAAAAGAACCTTTACAAAATATTTTCTCAGAAAGATAAATAATAATTTTTGATAAATGACAGTAAACATAAAAAGAAAGGGTTGGGGGGCAAAATTGTTGGCATGACTGCAACTTGTAAGGGAGATCAAGAAAAGGGTATAACATGTATTGCGATGTGTAATGATGTTCGGTGTCCTGACTAAACTTCATGGTTCATGGAAACTAAAACAGGAAAGGTTTTGTCCCTAGTTTCTACATGTAATAACACTGCACTGCACTCACCAAGTTACTAGCTCAGGTCTGGGAATCATACGTCAAACAGAAAGCTTCGAACAAATCACCTTCAGTGAATAGTCGATATGGCCAGTGTATTTAGGAGCAGTCCACTCCCATGTTCCTTATGGGCCATGTTCTGTGTGTGTTTTAGGGCTCTGGAGCGGTACTCACAGGGAACGGCTCGGCCCCCTCCTGGATGACGAAGCCCTCTATCAGGTGGGTGAGGATGTGGCACCTCATGAGAGCCTGGGCTGCTCTGCTCTCTCGGCTGCTGTTGCTGTTAGTGTTTCCATTCCCAGAGGTCATGACTGGAGCGCAGCCTCTGACCTGTGAACACAAGCAGCATGGAAGCTCAGCCTGGGACCTGGAGCCTCACATCAATGCACAAACCATGCAACTCATACAAACGTGGCAATATCGCATTATTAGTATTATTTATTAAGAGTTCTCCTTAATAACCAATTCCAAATTGAGCAGATATAATGCAGCCTTTTAAAAAAGAAAATGTCCTATTGTTTATTTGTTTACTATGTGGGGATGTAGAGAGTGGCTCACAATGTGCCACTCAGATCTTTGACTTGGTGTTAAAATACTCCACTACAAGCTATCCCGTAAGAGCATTTTTGGAAATGCTGTGTAGATTAGTAACACAGTACTGCATTATACCATATCAGCATATATGTGTTATGTTTACAATGTTACTGTGAGTGCTAAATACATTTATTGGAATACAAAGTACAATATTCACCTGTAGTGGAGTATAAGTAGCATTAAATGGAAGTACATAAGTAAAGTACAAATAAGTCAAAAAAGGACTTAAGTACAATACTTGAGTAAATGTACTTAGTTACTTTCCATCATTGGTTTTGAGTAGTATGTTATGACTTCTTGCAATAACCATAAATGGGCAGATCTCAGATTGAAGTCTGGCGGACAGTCTACCCACAGTGACTGTACTATTTTTTTTACTTTTAAGTAAAAGTACTGCATTCGAGTAGCATTAAAAAAGTATTAGAATCCAAATATAGTTAAAGTACCAAAGTAAAAGTAGCCATTATGCAAAATGGCACATTTAAGCACAATATATATATTTTAAGTATTGTATTATAATTATTGATACAATAATCCCTTAATCACTTCAATGTTGCACTTTGTAAAGGTGGGGTTCATTTGAATTACTTTGTATATTACTTGGTAGCTTAACCTATAATAGTATATCAATATGTATTAAGTGTTTAAATTGTGCATTTATAATCTAAATGTGCAACATTGTTAGTTACTAAATCTGTGAAATAAATGTAGTTGAGTATAAAGTGTAACATTTGCCTATATATGTAGTGGAGTAAAAGTAGGGTAAAGCCCTCAAGGAAAGTACAAGTACAATACTTGAGTAAATGTACTTCCACCACTGTTTACTACCTGCCATACACATGATCTGGAATCAAATAAATAGCACTATTTCTTATCAGGTTGTCTGGCAGTGAGTTATAATTGAGTTATTAAGAGCAGGTAAACACAAAGCTTTTCCCGGTTTAAAAGCATTCCGTTTTTATGTATATGAGATTAAGTTAGGGCTATGCACACCAGAGGTGGGAGAAGTATTCAGATCTTGTACTTGAGTAAAAGTACCAGAGTACACGTAGGAATACTCTGTTACAAGTAAAAGTCCTGCAATGCAAATGTTCCTCAAGTAAAAGTAGAAAAAGTATTCTCATCAAAATATAGTGAAAGTAGCGACAGTAAAAGTAGTCGTTGTGCAGATTGGTCCATTTCAGAATAATATATATGATATGTTTTATAATGATTGATCATGAAAGTGTTCTCAAAGCTGGTGAAGGTGCAGCTAGTTTGAATGACTTTGTATACTGCAGGGTAGCTGGTGGATTTACTCCAGGTGGAACTAAAGTCTGATTTAACACTTGATTAGATTTTATATTTCTATCTGTAAAGTAACTAAAGGTATTACATACATGTAGTGGAGAAAAAGTACACTTTTCACCTCTGAATTGGAGTAGAGTAGAATTACAAAGTAGCAAAACATTGAAATACTCAAGTAAAGTACAAGAACCACAAAGTCGTACTCAAGTACACTACTTGAGTAAATGTACTTCGTTACTTTACACCTATGATTCTGTCCAAATCTGCCTCAGTATATCAAATACTGCTAATATCCTTTTGGTAAACTCACAGCCTGCCTAGAATCAAAGCACTGCTTCCCAGTGTGAACGTTAGGGGTTTGCTGGTTGTATTGTGAATGAATTAAAGTATTCTGCATTAAAGCCCGCGTTTTTCAAGCCCTTTTAAAAAACAGATATACACTTTGGAGAAGTTAGCTTACTTTAACAGTCTAACAGACTTCTGAATTGAGTTAGAGAGCAGGCGCCGGGCTCGGAAACAATGGTAAGAGAAGAGGAGCTCTTTGTTTAACGGCTCCAAACAACGCTTTCATTCACTCACACTCCCGCGAGGAGCCGCTCCGCCACTTGTAGCCCGGACACACCGGGAGCAACACACCGGGAGCCGCTCAGCGAGCCGGACCGTGGAGCCAGCCGGTTCCCTCAGACACTGGAAGTTACAAGCGGTTCATATCCTCACTGTGTTTGGTTTTCTCATGTTCTCTTGTTCAGCAGCAGACACAACAATCCCCCGGCTGCGCGCGTGCTCAACGACAAACCCCGAGAGATTCACGTGAAGGACTTCCGGCAACAACCTTTAAAATTAAAGCCTCCACACACTAGTGTAAATACCCGGGATACAAAGTCAGTAAAGTGCGCATTTGTCCGTGCAACAATGTCTCCTGCAGTTTCATACATGTATTCAAATATCTTAAAATGTTACTTTACTGGACATTTCAAGGGCTTTAAGTTTAGAAAATGCACATCAGAATGTATTAGTGTTGTCCAAGTGACACTCTGAGGTGATACAAACTAAATAAAAAATACATTTGTGGCAACAGGCCTTTTCCTTTTAATTTAATCTGAATTTGAAGAGTATTTAACTCAGATATTTTAGTTTGAAGGGCTTTCATTTTAAAATGTCACATCAGATAGTCCTGACATTGCCTGAAAGACACAGGTGTTCTAACCTACTATCACTCTGAGGTGAACATATTCTGTGGCAACAGGTCTCTCTTTAAGTCTTTTTGGAAAATTATCTAAAAAGACATTTAATAAGACATTTTAAAGAGCTTTTTTCACATCAGAATGTGCTGATATGTGTCACTCTGAGGTGGTCTGTTTTCAATCTGAAGAGAAACCAGGACCAGGCAATAGGCTGTTTCCTTTAATGATACTCTGGAACTGCATTAAAAGACACTTTAAGGGCTTACATTTTAATTTTAAAAAGAAAATTATGTTAGTCTCTCTGTGATACTCAAAGTGATCTACTGTCAATCTGAAGTTATATCAGTTTTAGTTTATTTATGTACCTGTATGTTTTCATTTAAATATATTCATTTTAGGTGTCTTTTCAAATGAATGTGAAATTACCATATCCATAGTTATATCCAAATCAAGATTTAACATAGAAACACTATTTTAATGCATCTTAAAAAACACAACTCAAACAATGTCAACCATTGATAATTATTGAATTTCATTACATTAAAGGTGGGGTATGTAAGTTTGAGAAACCGGCTCGAGATACACTTTTTGTTATATTCCATGGAATGCTCTTAACATCCCGATAGCAATGGATATCTGAAGTGCTTTGACAAAAAATCCATTACAAAATGTCATCTGTGGAAGCCGTAGCGCTGTAAAAAGCACGACCAATCATCTGAGCCGGCCCGGCTAAAATAACTGGATGGCCTACCTGCCTGTCAGCCTTCCATCTGTGCACAAACTTATCTCGTGCCCTCATTGGTCATGTGCGCGTTCGTGTGTGTTGGAGGAGGGACTCTGTGAGGAAGTGGCAGATTTGTTCCGGCTGTGTATTTTCAAATTCTAGCGCACTCGAGCTTGTTTCTCCAAAATTACCTACCCCACCTTTAATTATGACCAGAATAATTAGAGCATGTTGAATGTATTGCATACAATGAAGGCTGCAGATTAGCAGAACATCACTATTTTCCTGAGGATTATACTTTCAAAATAAGAACACATTACAAATACTGAATCAACTATAAGAGGTTAGAAGCTTAAATGATTGTAATATAAAACAATGCCATGTCAACAAATGAGAGTCAGTTTAAACAAAGTAACGTTGAATGTGAACCGTTTGATTTTAGGCAATCATTTCCTGGCCCATTCAAAGCTCAGCTAATCAATGAACACTTGTTAAAACTTGGTTAAAACCGACAAATACATATTTTAGTGATTGTTAACAAGGCTTTTATTTTGAAGGATTCTACCGGGAGAGAAGCAGATGCTGCCGCGGACTTGGCGGCAGGGACCTCCAGCAGCGGGACTCTCCTCTCAGTGCCTGTCCTGGCGGCCCGCTGAGAGGCTGCTCTCAGACCGGCTCATGTCCTCGCTGGCCTTGATGAAGAAGGAGTGTCTCCGGTCTGGGACCCTGTCCTCCGCCTCCCTGAAGAGAAGGTTCCTGAAGAAGAGGAGGGTCGCTCCGGGGGCGCAGCAGGACGCGGACAGGGACTGCCAGCTGTGCAGGTGAGACGCTAAAAAGTTAGAATTTACTGGAATAAAAACTAATCAACCTGATATTATAGTGATGCATTTGTTGGTACCGATTATCACTCTTTTTGATCGTTTTTAAAAGGAAACATTATCATAACGGGTCCCTAGAAAGTACTATTTCTCAATTTTGTTAAAAATAACTATTTTGTATTTCTGTCAATACATCTACTGTCGACTGATTAGCTGACTAATCATTTGTTTAATTATTAATGATAATTTCTATAAACAAATAAAAAGATAGCAAGCTCTTCAAACGATGTAACCTGTGGTTCCATGTGTATGGAAGTAGGGACTAGCCTAAGGGTCATGTCCGCTTTAACATAAATAATACTGACCATAGTTGGATTTGCTAATCCTGGGCTTTCATTTTTCTGAAGCACACATGAGATGCAGTTCAGTTCAACTTAAATTAATAATTTATGAATCAATAAACTCTGGTTGACTTTCAAAAAAATATTAAATGAATCCACAATCCAAATATCACTATTCTGATTAGGTCAACTATCAAAATAACGTTTAATAATGTATTCCCTAAATAAAGCGGCAGAAATAAAAATATAAAATATTTAATAAAATAATGTGCAAAATAAAGAAAAACATTAGGCCCTCCGCAATCTAACCGATTTGTCTACAAACATTTCTCTCATCTATTTAAAGCCTGGCCAACCACAGTTTGAGCCTGATGCTACAAAAAGGTGCCCATTAACAAAACATGTACGCCTATACAATAAATTATAGATTACATAAGTATCTTTACAGTTCTACATGTTATATTTCATAAATCATACACCAGATATTCTCATCATAAGTTTAAAGCAAAAAGCCTTTTTTTTTTTTTTTTAAACTAAATGTTTCCCTCTGAAGATATAATGTCTTTGACTTAAAAAATGAACCTGCCCATTTATGTGAGGGTTTGCCTGAACTGTCCACCTGTAGCCCAAAATGTATGACATCTGCAGTTGTGCGGCCTTTCCCATGAATTCACCAGTTGTATTCCTGTTTTCCCAGGTGCTCCATATTCTCCCGTTCAGGTGGTAGTCGCACTGTTCGCCGGATTTTGACAGCCTGCGTCCTCTCTTTCCTGGCCCTGCTTGGCTCTGTGTCCATGGATCTCAGCTCCAAGTTCGACCTGCTGCACACAACGGAGGCCGCTTATGAAGAGCTCACTTCATGCAGGACAATAGCCATCCTGCAACTCGTCCGTAAGCTCCAAAAGACAAGAGGTTTATTCACCAAAGACATGGGCAATGAGACATTGGAGCCAAGTTTTTCCGAGGTAGTGTTTCCTATGTTGGATCATCTCTGTGGTGAAATGATGGATCACAGGAACGGCCGTGGGCTTCTTTGCAGTGTTGAGTTGGCTGAATTTTGCCAGGAGATAACGTGGAGTGTTCAAGGACTTCTAAATGCTTCCTTGGATACAAACGGCACAAGTGCAAATGGTACTTCTGTTTACTCCGTGGCCATTGGAAGACTTCTTGACATCTGGGGTACGGTAGAAGAAACTTTTGTCCAAGTCAAACAGGATTCCAACTGGGGAGATGTTCTGTCTGCAAGACTTTTGGTAAAATTCATAGAGCTCAACTACCAGTTGATGGACTTCCCCACATAGCAACTTACCCTGACTTCCAGAACGAGTGGACTTATGTCCTAGGCTACCTTGGCTTTGCCAGGGTTATGACGGGACATCTTAACGACTGCTGGTTACAGAACATAAACTCAAGCCAGCGTGTAAAAACGAATGATATATTTGACACAAGTCGGTGGCAGATCTCTGGAGACGGATCAGAGCTTCTGTCCGGGTCTCACATCGGGATTCAGTCTCTGACAAACACTCAGCAGTGCTTGTTTGATCGTGCGGGGCCGGCTTTGAGGCTGGAGTCTCGATCCATGTCTTCAGGTCTCAGCATGAAGGTCTGCCTGCTGGCCATAGCCTGCCTCATCTACCCGGTGGTGCTGTTCTCATTCAAGCAGATGACCGAGTGGATTCAGAACTACGCCCAGAGCTTGAAGGAGAGGACGGAGGACCTGAAGCGCCAGAGGCAGCGGGCGGAGGACCTGCTGCACCAGATGCTGCCCAAGTCAGTCGCCAAGCAGCTCCGCCAGAATAAACATGTTGAAGCCGAGAGTTACGAAAAGGTTGGTGGAATCAGAAAGAGTGATTTAACTTCTGTTTCTCTCAACGTGGTGTAGAATGGTACAAGTAGACATTCACCAGGAGGGTTATATGATAGACCAGGGGTATTCAACTAATGTCTAACTTGCTTTATGAATTAATGTGATATATATTGAAGTAGCTGCAGCTTTCTCAACGTCTGCATGTAATCAACAACTGACTGCCAATCAAATAGAGAAAGTACAATTCAAAAACAACTATTTATTGTCAATTAACATTGCACTATACAGATATACAGTAAATACTGTGGATATGTATAATGTTCCTCTCGGGCTGCATTTACAAATAAAATAGCTTTTGAAAATATGTGCATCTTAAAAGTGCTTAATTTTAGATAAATAAAATAAAGTGTAGCAGCAGCTTGAGTTTCCCTTTTTCTTTGTTAACCGTTTCACATCATGACTTAACAGTTTCAGACGATTATCGAACAATATCAGTCTTTACACATCATAACAATTGAACAGTTTTAAAGTTTCTCTTTCTCTCCCTCTTATATTGCAGTCCCTCACTCACTTTGTTTTGTTCAGTGCGAGAATTGAGCTGGAGCTTGTCCTGCCAGGAGTTTAGATCTGGGCTGAAATGGTGTCAGGGCCATTCTCATTCACATGCAGGTGCTCATTGGTTAGCCTCGGTTAGCCTGCCCTGGAACGATATTTAGTTTTAATTTTGATCCTGGTGGACTGATCATATTGGGCTCTGAGACTGCTAATTTTTTGTGACCTCAGTTCTGACTTGAGAGGGAATGTTTGGACAAACATTTTGTGTTTTGTCTCATAGTGGCGTTTTGGCACTTTTAATGAGCGCCACGGTCTCTGAACAAATGAGACACACTGGCTCTGTGCTCCCAGTGGGAAGGATGAACAT